GGTTAACCAAAGGGGAGAGATAGGGGTGAGAGACAAATTAGGAATATGGATCAACAGATACAAACTACAATACACAAAATAGATAAGCAACAAGGATTTACTGTATAGCACAGGGAATTATATTCAATATCTTGTAATAACCTACAATGGAATATAATCAGGAAAAAGCTGAATCACTATGCTGTACACCTGAAAGTAACACAATATTGTAAATCAACTATACTTCAACTTAAAAAAGAAAAGAAATTAGTGCAGCCACTATGAGAACAGTATGGAGGTTCCTTAAAAAACTAAAAATAGAGTTACCATGTGATCCAGCAATCAGACTACTGGGCATATATCTAGGAAAAAAAAAAAAACTCTAACTCAAAAAGACACTTGAAGCCTAATGTTCAAAGCAGCACTATTTACAATAGGCAAGATATGGAAGCAACCTAAATGTCCATCAACAAATGACTGGATAAAGAAGATGTGGTATATGTATACAATGGAATACTACCCAGCCATAATAAAGAATGAAATAATACCATTTGCAGCAACATGGATGGACCTAGAGATCATCATACTGAGTGAAATAAGTCAGAGAGAGAAAGACAAATGTCATATTATATAACTTGTATGTGGAATCTAAAAAAATGACACAAAAGAACTTACTTACAAAACAGAAACAGACTCACAGACATAGAAAACAGACTTATGACTACCAAATGGGAAAAGGGGGGAGGGATAAGTTAGGAGTTTGGGATTAACAGATACACAAAACTATACGTAGAATAGATAAACAACAAGGTCCTACTGTATAGCACAGGAAATTTATATATTCAACAGCTTATAATAATCTACAAGGGAAAAGAATCTGAAAAAGAATACATACATATGTGTGTATAACTGAATCACTTTGCTATACACCCGAAACACTGTAAGTCAACTATACCTCAATAAAAAATAAAAATTAATAAAAACAAAGAAAATGAAGGGAAAGACTATTGATTATTCCAGTGTTTCAACCAGAATAATTTAGATTACAGAAGTATCAGAAAGTTAGCACTCATTCATCAATTTAGTTAATGAATATTTATTAAGCAATCTCAACAAGCTACATTCTACCTTCTATGTCACTAGGTGTGACTGCAAACAGTACAAAATCGCTGTCCTTCCAGAACTTACGTTCTAGTGGGAGGAGACAGACCCACACGCCCAGGACCTAGGTGTGTCTGGGAGAATACAGAAAGTTACCAAGTTCAGCTAAAACAACGTGTAAGGGGACAGCAAGTTCTCAATGGCCAGATACTCAGAAAGGCCAACAATCTGCAATTACATTCAGAAAGAAAGGATGCTGACATCAACAGAAACGACCTCCTCAGGCACCCAGCGCACAGACACAGAGGTGGAGAACTAACAGGGCCAAGTGTCTAAAGGAAAGATGTGCTTTCAGCAAGAGGACTGGAACAGGAGGAGGATGCCACAAGGAAATGAAACTGCAGGCACGTGGCTTATTTCTGCCTCCAGTTAGTCGAGGAGGGGCTGGCAGCCCCAGTGCACCTCCCCGTGAGAGACAGAAAACCGTTAGGTTTCCTGTGATCGGGTGCAGTTACAACCCCTCAAATCTTGAAGTCAGCATTTCGTGTCCTCTGATGTTGACCTTGAACTTCCCTCCCTGGTATTTCTCACTAACAAGGAAGAGCAACTGCGTTCACCGAAGCAGCAGAGGCAGTAGCATGGGAAGGAGTCAATGAAAAGGGTGAAAAACAGATAAAGATCCTTGGAGGACAGTGCTTCCTGCAGTAAAATACCTCAGACTACTTTTTACAGAGAGTAACGCAAACTACATGCAAATTTGCAAGTGGTGATGCTAATTCTTGCACGGCCTGTGTCCCTTCATATTCTTGCCTCTGACCTTTGAAAGGTCCAGGGCTACAGGGCAGGACACTGGCAGAGGCTGCCACAGGCCACTGACCACTGTCTGGACAGAGTCAATGGTCAAGCAACACAGAAGGATGAACAAGGCTCAAAGGTGATGGATATAGATGATTGCTCTGCCAGAGAATTCAGGATGGTACACTCGGGATGGCGGATAAGGGCGACCTACAGTGTGAAGGGCACTCAGGTGTCAGTCTTAAAGTACAAACCAGAGTCTATGAAAGTGACAGCTGGAGCGGGTTATTGGTGTCCGAGATATTATCTGGGAGAATAACTGACAAATTCATGAATTACCCTGAATACCAAATGCCATATGCTATTTTGTTAATCATTCTTTATTCCTTGGATCACTAGTATTTTCATTATCCAAGGTTACTTCCCCACTGTGACAGAGAAGTGGAACTCTAACATACTGAGTTTCTTGGAAAGCACTAAAGGACATGTAATTAGCTAGAAAAATAACTGACTTCTTGATTACGCTCTTTCTCCCCATGAAAGGTACAATTACTGAAATACAGAAAAATTTCAAAAGCTTGCAAAATTGTTTCCTTTTGATCAATGTTGGCATGGTGTTTGGTTTCTCTCCTATTCACATAAGGCTCAAAAACTCCTTTGGGGTTGACAGATGGCCTGTAGCCCATTGCTCTGGACAGAGATCAGGGATGTCCTTTGGCTCAAGGCTATGTTTTACCTGCAAGTTGCTGTTCTCCACACGCTGCTGCAAAAACCCATGTGCTTTCCTTACTGGTGAGTGACAGACTGATGTCTCTGCCACAGGGGTCCCCCAGCTACATCACAGAGTCATGCTAAATACTAAGCTTAAGCTGGACGTGCACACATGAATATGTGTGTGCATCTGTGCTTCCTGAATGCATTGAGGGCAGCTGTGACCTACTGCCCATCCATTCAGAGCAATTCTTTGAATGCTCAGCTCCCCCTTTAATAATATCTCCCATCTGACCCCTCCGACACTCCAAATGATGCTGTCAATCAAACGGCAAAGCTAAGTGGCAGGTTGAAACCTCAAAGGAAACCCAACAACCAGTTAAAAACTTCTCTGAGCCAGGCAGGAGCGTTTCGGAGTGCCGCACCAGATAGGAACAAAGGCTGGGAGGCAACACCAGCTGTAAATGCCATCTATCATCACGCAAAGATAAAGAACCTCTAAATTCAACCAGAGGGCACTTGCAAATATCCAGTGCGGTCCTGATACTTTGATTGATGGCCACCCCTTTTAATTAGCTCGTCTTGTCTCTGGAGGTTTCCAAAGAACAGATCACTGGCTCCCACCTCCCCTACCCCTCCACCATTCGCCTTCCTCGGGAGACAGGACCAAAGCAGGCACCAAGCCTCGCCAGCACCTTTCCCTGTGTGACCACCACGACCATGTGACCATCCACGCTCCAGGAGGGGGCTCTTGCACTGACCTTCCGCAAAAGGAAGCAGATGCGCTCGATGTTCCTCAGTCGTTCCCTCTATCAGGGCGCACAAGAAAGAAAAGAGAAGTGAGGTTAGACTTTCTGTTGAAAGAACACAAGAAGCCCCATATTCATGCCCAAGGAGGGGAGACAGAACCCACCACAGACCCCTTCCAGCACATGGCCTGTGTGTTCCCACCCACATGGCTTTACCTAACAAGAGTTTCTGCACATACAACTCAATAGCAAAAAATAATAATAGTCCAATTGAAAATGGGCAGAGGAACTGAACAGACATTTTTCCAAAGAAGACATAATATGGCCAACAGGTACATAAAAAGGTACTCGATATCACTGATCACGGGGGAAATGCAAATTAAAACCACAATGAGCTACCACCTCACAGCTGTTAGAATGACTAGCATCCAAAGGACAAGACTTATCTCTGATATAAGTGCTGACAAGGCTGTGGAAGAAAAGGGAACCCTAGTGTACTGTTGGTGGGAATGTAAATTGGTGCAGCCAATACGGAAGTTCCTCAAAAAGTTAAAAGTAGAACTACCTCATGATCCAGCAATCCCACTTCTGGGTATATCCAAAGGAAACGAAATCACTGTGTCATAGTGATATCTGCACCCCCATGTTTATAGCAAGGTTATTTACAATAGCCGAGACATGGAAACAACTTAAATGTCCACTGAGAGATGAATGGATAAAGAAGATGTGATATATATATGAATATTATTCAGCCATAAAAAAGAAGGAAATCCTGCCATTTGTAACAGCATGAGTGGCCCTCCAAGGCACTGTGCTAAGTGAAATAAGTCAGCAGACAGAGAAAGGCAAATACTGTATGATCTCATTTACATGTGAAATCTAAAAAAAAGAAAGGAAACTTATAGAAAAAGAGATCAAGTTTGTGGTTAGCAGAGGTGGAGGATCAGAGGGCAGGTAAAATTGAAGGCAGGTGGTCAAATACAAACTTCTAGTTATAAGTTTAAAAAGTACTGGGGATGTGACAGACTACAGGATGACTGTAGTTAACACTGCGTGTGGCATATTCACTAATTGAATAAAGCCTAAAAATTCTCATCCCAAAGAAAAAACTTTATCTTTCTTCTTCTGTATCTATATGAAATGATGGACGTTAATCTATTATTTTGCAATATATATATGTCAAGTTGTTATGCTTTGTACCTTAAAGACACACTCAATAAAATTGAAAAAAAAGAGTTTCGAGCTTTTTTCCATCTTCCTTGTCACAGTTATTTGTTCTTAACAGAAACTTCCCAGCAAATAGCATGGGCTCAGTTTCCCTCTCAGCCCAACAGAGGTTTCTGTACTTTTTTCTACAGCTTCCATGTCCCTGTGAAACAGTCAAACTGCAGAACAGGCACCGCGTGCTCACTGAATGTCCCAAAGTCCATGGTCGGGCCTCCCGGTGGGTTTGGGGGGCCTTCTCATTCGAGTCTCAAGGAGCATATGTGCCTGATTAGTGTGTAATGTGGGGAACTTCTCTGCCTGTTGGTTTTATTTTTCTAAAGTGAGTGTATTTAGACGAAGCAATCTTCCCACTCAATTAGACACCAGCAGTGCCCCTAGGCTAAGATTTTTCAAAACATCGAAGTCCATTTCCAGAGTCGGGCTCAGGGCCAAGGGAAAGATGCCCCGTGGCTGGGCAGGCGATGATGCTCGCATCACACACAAAATGCTGCCTTCCTGCTCTTGCAGTGGCTTTTGTGATTTTTGAAGCCACTCTGAACACAGCTGTGGCATTTCCTGGGGCTTCATTACCGAGGCAATTTGGTTGCAGTAGATGTGATGATAATGAGATTCCTCGTGGATCTGGAGAAGACAGGTGGCTGGGACACTTCAATTTCCCCTAATTAAACCATAAATACAGTGATTCCTGTGCATCCTTTAAGCGTAGAGGAAAGAGCCCATATCAGGACAAATTAGTGTCCATGTGGCTAGGAAGACTGACTCTGTCCTCTTCAACACATGTGTGTATACCCACACACACATGCACATGCAAACACACATACAGCTGGGCATCGAGCCCGCCTAAATGGAGAAAAATGTGAAAAGCTGTGAGATACCAGGCATGAAATGGGGGGGTCCAGGACACATGCTAGCTCCCTCCCAGGAAGCTAGATCCTCAGACGGACATTTCTCCTTACTTTACAGTGACACTAAACGCCCAGCTAGTAAAAGGAAAGGGAAAAGATTAACAAGAGAAACTAGGAGTAAAAGCATTTCTCCTTCTTCCCACCTCCTGGAAGGGGTTCCACCTGGAGGGCCCAACAATATTTGGAACTTTAGGGAATCTTAAATACAAAGGACCAGCAGACCTCACACACATTCATTTAGAAATGCATCGTATCAACTAGCAGCTGTTTGTAACAAAAGTCCATCCAGGGCTGGAGTTACCAACCTGTGAAGTAGCTTTTTCAAGCCACCTGAGCCTTGAAATGATTCTCCAGAGGCTCTACAGAGGCCCAAAGAGCTTAAAGATGAGCTAAATGAGGCATCCAAACCATTTAAGTTCCTGCCAGGGAGGAACATCATAAAACCTGGGGGAATGTCTAATACCCTCCCATTAAGGGTTTTTATGGATTTTTTTTTAAATCACAGACAAAGAGTCCTTTACCTAGGGGCTTCAGTCTGTCCATGAAATGTCTGGCCTTCAAAGCCCAGATTCCTTAATTAATTAACGAATTAGAAGTGTGTCTTTAATAACACCTTCTCTGCTCCACAACCTCACCCTTCAATGGTCCTTCATTTTTTCACCAACAAATAGGATTGAACACCTACTGTGTGCAGGTTCTGTTCTTACACTGACCTTTCACAGCAGCTCCCTGTGGAATGTGGGCTGGTCCTAATTTTCTCTGTTCTTCCTGAACTAAGGAACTTGCCATGGCAACCTGGTAACAGGCTCCATGAACAGTCTCATGGTTTCAACAACCCCCTGCACCCCAGTGTAGAATTCGCATGATGGAATTGACAGGCAGGACACATTAATTCACTACCATTTACCCTGGGATCACACAAGAAACTACAGTTGTTCTAAGTGAGCCACTTTCTAATTTGAGCCCAAACCACCAGGAGGAAGGAAAGCAGGCCCTTGACTCCCTGGCCTTCCAAGACAGAAGCGCCCTCTCAGTCCAGAGCAGCTCCATGCAACCGGTAGATGTTAATAAGCCAGGTATGTGATGCTGGTGCCAAACACAAAAACCAGAAAGGAAAGAGGCCCAGGGTGCAATTCTTTCAGGCCTGGTGGAGCCAAGTTCTCATTGCTGGGTGTTGAGGCTGGCAGATGGAAACAAAATGGGTTTTAATCATGACAAGTTTCACAAGATATAGTAGGTTTTCAAGTGGTTCTTAGCGATTCTTCCAACTTGCCACAAAATTCTGCTTTACTCAGTTGACTTGAAAAGAGTTTGGCTCTATTTCATTGAATCAAAGAATCGGATGCCAAAGGGATGATAAAATCAGGCATTAAAACGCCAAATCTCTTAAATGGACAACATAGAATAGGTGTAAGAACATAGTCAGACCTGAATTCCAATCCTGACTTGACCACTCATGAGTTCTGAGTCCTTGGATAATGGTGCCTACCTGGCAGAGTTGTAAGGATTATAGGATATATACACATATAAAATTTCCTAGCATGTAGTAAAAACTCAAAAAAACTTACAACTCCAAAAAGGGAATCTTCCTACACTATTGGTGGGAATGTAATTTGGTGCAGCTACTATGGAAAACAGTATGGTTCCTTAAAAAACTAAAAATAGGGGGGAAGGTATAGCTCAAGTGGTTGAGCACATGCTTAGCCTACATGAGGTCCTGGGTTCAATCCCCAGTACCTTCTCTAAAAATAAACCTAATTACCTTCCCCACCATGCCAAAATAAAATAGTTAAATAACACAATAATGGAAATAAATAAAATAAAATAAACAAATTTTTTTTAAAAACTGAAAATAGAGTTACCATAGTATCCAGCAATCCCACTCCTGGGCATATATCCAGAGGAAACTCTAATTCAAAAAGATACATGCACCCCAATGTTCACAGCAGCACTATTTACAGTAGCCAAGACATGGAAACAACCTAAATGTCCATCAACAGATGAATGGATAAAGAAGATGTGGTATATATATGCAATGAAATACTACTCAGCCATAATAAAGAATGAAATAATGACATTTGCAGCAACATGGATGGACCTGGAGATTATCATACGTAGTGAAGTAAGTCAGACAAAGTATCATATGATATCATTTGTATGTAGAATCTAAAAAAATGACACAAAGAACTTATTTACAAAACAGAAACAGACTCACAGACATAGAAAACAAATTTATGGTTACCAAAGGGGAAGGGTAGGTGGAGGGATAAATTAGGAGTTCGGGATTAGCAGATAAAAACTACTATACATAAAATAAACAACAAAGTTCTACTGTATAGCATAGGGAATTATATTCAATAGCTTGTAATAGCATATAATGAAAAAGAATATGTGTGTGTGTGTGTGTGTGTGTGTGTGTGTGTGTATGACTGAATCACTTTGCTGTACACCAGAAACTAACACAACATTGTAAATCAACTAAACTTCAATTTAAAAAAAACTCCCAACTCCAGTAACAGCCCTGTACTTTATAGAGGCCTACTCCCCTGGTCTTCTGGGATCTCCCAAAGAGCACAGCCTCTTCAGGGGGCCTGCAGCTAAGGAAAACAGACTTCTCTGTCCCAGTCACTAAAGAATGATGTCATAGCCTTCCAGGTTAATAGTCACAATAATACTCATAATATACACATGTATATTCACACTAGTAAATCCTGGTGTTCTCGCCACAACTTCTGGCTGAAAATATCAACAGAACTATTCAAACAAAAACTTGCCTTAGTACTGAAAACCAGGGCCTGGAAAGAACTGCAACTCAGTGCACGCCCATCGAGCTTAGACTGAGTCACAGACTCAGAGGGCAGGTCTGGAATGAGTCTGGAAAAGGCTCTGTCCACAGGCGTGGTTGGTGCCGGGCTCTGGGACGTGCGCTGCACTGACCAGAGGAGCAGAGGGCCAACACCCACCCCACTCAACAGAAGTGAGGTCCTCCTCCTCTCCCTGTAGCGATGCCTCGCTCTACATCCATTCCAGGGCCCGTGGGAGGGCAGCACGCACAGCCTGGCCAGCCAGACAGAGCAGTAGGTCTCTGGGATCAGCAGGTGCTAGGGCAAGGAGGTCTTTCACATACTGAACCCAGACCGGACAATCAGACGGCATCACGTTCCCTCGGGGGAAGCAAGCTGACTTCAAGCCCACAGAGCCTCCCAAGATGAATGCCTCCTGGCCGATGGATATGGGGCAAGGAGCTGTGTACATCAACCCCCCTGCAAGTGTCCCTCTGAGAAACCTGGCAAAGTACAGAGTTGGGTGGACCACAGTGATGCTCCCACACCCGCCAACATGGTGGCCAGCCTGGAGCCTGTCTCCTTGTTCAAGGATGCAAGGCCAAAAACCAGTAACACGGGGCCTTAAGGACCCCACAGCCACAGCGGGCAGACCTTTCCCACTTGCGTATTAGAGTGGCCACACTTGACTTGCAGGATAAACTGAGACCTCAGCAGGCCTCGGGGGCGACCACCCTGAGCCAGGCGTGGAGATGCAGTCAGGGCCAGGTATGTGCCTCACTAATCCTATTCATCAAAAACCTCGCCCTCCTTCACAGGCCCGGGGTGGCCCGTGGGGACAACACCCTTCTGGCCACCAGTACCCACTACTTACCGCATGAACAGGGTTGCACTGGTCGATGGGGCTCTTAAAATCTGTCCTTAACTCATCAAAGGCAATTATCTGAAATAGAACACACAGAATTGAGATGTTAGTGTGAAAAGTGAGTCAATACACCATGTCAAAAGCTTCCTGTAGATTTGATCCAAAATAACACTGGAGGCAGGAGAGGGGTATCAATGACACAAGACTGGCCAGGAGTCGGTCACCGTCAAAGCTGGTGATGGGCACTTGGGGTTGATTGCATTCTTCTGTCTACCCTGCATACGCTTAAAAATCCCCACAATAGGGAATGAAAGGGATGTTGTTTAAGGTAGATACTTACAACTAGAAGGTAAGTCCAGGAGACCTAGTACACAGTACAGTGATTAAAGACAACAAAACATATTATAAGCATTAAACTTACTAAGAGACTAGATCTTTTTTTTTAATTTTCTAAAATGTACTTATTTTTATTGACGTATAGACAGTTTACAATGTTGTATTCATTTCTGGTGTAGAGCATAGTGATTCAGTTATACACACATATACATTCTCTTTCATATTCTTTCACTATAGGCTATTACAGGATACTGAATATAGTTCCCTGTGCTACACAGTAGGACTTTGTTGTTTATCTGTTTTATATATATAGTAGTATCTGCAAATTCCAAAATCCTAATTTATCCCTCCACCCTCCCCTTTCCCCCTGGTGACCATAAGTTTGTTTTCTATGTCTGTGAGTCTATTTCTGTTTTGTAAATAAGTTCTTTTGTGTCATTTTTTTAGATTCCACATACAAGTGATATCATATGATATGTGTGTTTCTCTGACTTACTTCACTCAACATGATATCTAGGTCCATCCATGTTGCTGCAAATAGCATGATTTCATTCTTTTTTATGGCTGAGTAATATTCCACTGTGTGTGTATGTGTGTGCTTCTTTATCCAGTCATCCTCTTTATCCAGTCATCTGTCAATGGACACTTAGGTTGCTCCATGTCTTGGCTATTGTAAATAGTGCAGCTATGAACATTGGGATGCCTGCGTCTTTTCGAATTTAAGTTCCCTCTGGATATATGCTCAGAAGTGGGATTGCTGGATCACAGGGTAGGCCTATTTTCAGCTTTTTGAGGACTCTCCATACTGTTTTCCATAACAGCAGCACCAAACTACACTCCTATCAACAATGTAGGAGAGCTCCCTGCCCTCCACAGCTTAAGGGACTAGATCTACACTGTTCCCAAAACTAGAAGAAATAACTATGTTATAGGACAGAGGTGTCTGCTAACCATATTGCAATATCAATGTAGCAAATCGGTATGTTGTACACCTTAAACATACTCAAAGCTGTATGTCAAATATATCTCAATTTTTTAAATCCCCAAAGTAAAATTTTTTTAAGTTTCCTGTGCCTCACAAAGATGTAGAAAGAACTCTATTATGGTGAGGGCAGATTGGGGTTTGGATGAAGGCACAAAAAAATTTAAAACTTCAAACTAGCACTTTCAATTTCCCTCTTAAGGAAAAAGCTGTTTATTTTTTCATGTTTCTTTATCTTGGCAGAGATGTTGATTAGAAGTTAAAGGGCTAGAAGTCAGGCAAAAGGAAGAAGAGAAAATCAAGAAACAGTTGACAGGAATAGAAATAACCCAATCTCTAGCCTTCCACAGGCTGGACAATAAGTTCTTGGACAGTCAAGTTGTCACAACTGGGTCCACTGGACTGGGGTTTTCAAGGTCATTCTGGACAGAGGCTCGGAGCTCCCTAGAGAGCAATGAGTTCCCCATTTGTCTGAAGGGCAGAGTATCGGTGATGACTTTCACCAGTCACAGACTGAGGTAAGACCCATCTGCAGAAAGAGCTAACTAGACGTGAAGCTTCCTGACCCCAGCCACCTTGTGCCCAGAAAGGAAACTCCAAGACCGAGCAAAGTGGCATCTGGCCAGTAGAGATTCCTCTCTTAGGATGTGGAGGTCTTAGGTCCTCTCTTGGGCTGCATACAGATGGACATAACCAACTCCCCCATGAAGGCACGTCCCAGAGAAGCTGGCACCCTTCTCCAACCTCAAATGTCCCCATTCCAGCAACATGGGGCTGAGAGTAAGTACAAAGTAGGGGGAAACAACCTACTTTCCTCTAAAAACCAGGTATGATTTTTAAAGCAGTCACATGGCATTCTGATGCAATACACCTACAGAATTAGGGGAAAATTCTAATATAACTTGTATTAAATAGACACATTTCTGTATCATCCCTTGCCAGAGAGTTAATTATCCAGCCACTACTTAAGCCCTTTAGTAACAAGAAACTCACCACTTACTGAAGATGCTCATTCCATCCCTGGCTCCCACTAATTAACCATCACCTTCCTCTACTGAACTTACACATATGACTCCCCAAGGCTCCCACTCACATCCTAAGCCAGGGTTAGCAAACCACAGCCCGCAGGCCACATCCAGCCTGCCACCCATTTCTGTACAACCTGTGTGCTAAGAATGGTTTTTACTCCTTTAAAACAGTTGAAAAAATTGAAGCAGAGTAATACTTTGTGACATGTAAAAATCATATTACATTCAAATTTCAGTTCCCATAGATAACGTTTTACAGAACAAAGACACACAAGTTCTTTTATACATTGCCTATACTCTCACCCTATGATGACAGAGTAGCTACAACAGACACCATATGGCCCGCAAAGCCCAAAACAGTTACTATCTTGCCCTTTACAGAAAACATTTGCCAACTCCTGTTCTGTTCTTTTATTTGCCCTCTAGAGCTGCACAGTCCAATACAATAGCCACATTTGGCTATTTAAATTAAATTTTAATTAGTTAAAATTAAATTTAAAATTCAATCCCCACATTTTAATTGCTCGAAATCACATTTATCTAGTTAAACAGCACAGATACAAAATATTACCATCATCACAGAAAGTTCTATTGTACAGCACTGCTTCAGAGGCACAGAGGACAGTCAAATCACTCTCCTACAAAGAATCCTTTAAGCACTGCCAGCTACTGTGAACACAGCAAATCTTTCTTCTTCAGGCTCAATCTCTCCAAACTTTATTTATATTAATTGGCACTAAATTGCCTCATCATCCTGATTGCCCTTCACTGACATTACAGGTTGTAAATGTCTGTATTAAAACCTGACTGTCAGGATGAATGGGAAGATGCGATATACACACACAATGCAATACTGTTAGCCATAAAAAAGAATGAAATAATGCCATTTGCAGCAACATGGATGGACCCAGAGATGATTATGCTGAGTGAAGTAAGTCAGACAGAGGAAGATAAGTATCATATGATATCACTTATATGTGGAATCTAAAATATGATACAAATGAACTTATTTACAAAACAGAAAGACTCACAGACATAGAAAACAAACTTACGTTACCAGGGGAGAAGGGAGGGGGTTGGAGGGATTAATTAGGAGTTTGGAATTAGCAGATACAAACTACTACATATAAATAGATAAACAACAAGGTCTAACTGTAGAGCACAGGGAACTATATTCAATATCTTGTAATAAACTACAATGAAAAAGGACATGAAAAAAGAATATATATGTATAACTGAATCAATATGTTGTACACCAGAAACTAACACAACATTGTAAATCAACTATACTTCAATTAAAAGTAAGTTAAAAATAAAATAAAATAAAATGTGACTGTCAGAACTAAACATCATACTCAATGTGAGGTCAGGGGGCACGGAGAGTAAATGTATCACTCACCTCCTCTGTTCTCTAAACTATGCCTCTGTTAATGTAACCAGATAGCATTAGCTTTTTTTTGTGGACACATCACATTCCTGCCTTCATACTGACTTCACATTGTCTAAAAGCCCCAGGTTTTTTATGTGCTTCAGTTAAACTGTTCACCTCATTCTACATGCCCACTGTTGGATATGGGGGCTGAAGAGCAGAAGCTGAATCTGTTGAGACATGATTTATCTCCCAGCTACAAATCTTAATGAACATAGTGTGTTCAACATTCACATTCACATCCACATCCACCCTGATACAAATGCAAACCAAGCAGGACTCCTAGCTCCCATGAGGTTGAGAAAAGCAATCTTTCAGCCCATGATCTACCTAATTATAAAGACAATTCACTACGTTTTGATCCAGTGAACTGGAAGTCAGTCTCTGGGTAGCGTTACAACTCCACAACTCTTGGCGTGGCATACAGAAGTTCCCCAAAGTGCCAGGAGACGGGTCTGAGCTAAAAGGAACAAAGGCAGCTGGTGCTTTAAAGCAGTAGGAGAGGAGCCTGGGGGTTCCGAGCTGCTGAATGAGTCTGAGAGCAGGTACCCACTGCCCACCTCAGGTTCTGACCTGGAAGAAGGCATGAAGGAAGGCCAGAATGCAACCTACACCTTCCTGCTCCGTGAGGTGATGGGTACTTCATGGGAGATTTCTGATGATAGAGACTTAGTATTATCAGTTTGGGTTTCTCTATTTTAGCCATTCCAAGAAGTATGTAGGGTTAATTATATTTTTATAATTTATAATTTTATAAATTATAGTTTTAATTTGCATTTCTCCAGTAACTAATGATGTTGAGCATCTTTTCATGGGCTTAATGGCCATCTGTATCTCTTGTTTGGTAAAGCATGTGTTCAAATCAGTTGCCCATCTTTTTAAAAAAATTTATGTTTGCTATCTTATTGATGATTTTTAAGAATTCTTTATATATTCTGGATTCAAGTCCTTTGTTAGTTATGCAAATTGCAAATATTTTCTTCTATTCTGTATCTTGTCTTTTCATTCTTAACAGGATATTTCTCAGAGTAAAAGTTTTTCATTTTAACATTTATCAGTTTATCCAATTTATCAGTTTTTCTTTGACTGATCGTACTTTTGGTGTTGGATCTAAGAACTTCTAAGGCCACAAAGATTTTCTTCTAGGTTTTGTTTTCCTAAAACCTAGAGTTTTTTTTTTAATGGGAAAGTTTAAACTTAAAATTCAATTTCATTAATAGATTTAGGACTGTCAGGTTATCTATTTCCTATTACATGAGCTTTGAGAAGTTTGTGACTCTAAGGAACTAACCAGTTTCATCAA